CTTATGCAATGACACAAGGGAAACAATACATGAATCAACACTTCCTGTCACATCTGAAAATATCCAGTCATCAACGAAGTACAAGAATGTTATCCTTTCTTCAATAACTCTACACACATCTTCAATGACAATATTCCAACAATACTTAAAACAGCGACAACCAATGTTACCAACGGAGAAACAGTCAGGGACACAACTTTCTTATTTGATGAGGGATCACAGAGGTCATTCATTACAGAAGAAATATCACAAAATCTGAACCTGAAACAAACTGGAGCTGAAACTCTGATGTTTGCAGCATTTGGTGAGGAAGAAATGATGCGGACTTTGAAAACCTCAACTTTATTTCTGATTGCAGATTCTGGCTAAAAAATTCAGATTTATGTAGTTGTCGTACCAGGTATTGCAGCCAAGAAGTACCAATCAGGAAACTCCCTTACCTAAAACATTTGAAGTTAGTAAATTCCTATGATGGATCGACATTTGATGTTTCTTTAATTATCGACGTTGATCACTACGGGACATTGTTGGAAATGACATCATACGGTGAGATGGACCAACTACTGTAAGTTCTCAAATAGGATATCTACTCTCAGGACCAACATACTCAAGTGCAAAACACAATCACTTTGCGTCTTACAACATCCTCTCTTATCATCGACAAGAAGAATTAAATTTAGAAAAGTACTGAAAAATAGAAGACATGGAAAGCTTGGAAAAACCAACTGATTTTCCAATTAAGGATCAGAAGTGTGTAACCTTTGAAAATGGTCAATACACAGCAAAGTTACCATGGAAAGAAGAAGTCTGTGATTTACCTTCAAATGAAACAATTGCACTGGAACGCACAAAGAATGTACTTTGTCGTTTATTTCGAGATCCAGATATGTTAAAGACGTACAACAGTATTATTAAGGAGCAGGAAAAATGTGGATTTATTGAGAAAGTAGAGCAAGAGGACACACCCAAACAACAAGTACATTACATTCCCGTCCATCTAGTAAAAAGGATTCAAGAACAACACCGATTCGAATAGTATATGACTGCAGCTGTAAACAACCTGGAAGTCTAAGCCTAAATGACCGCCTTGAATCTCACTCTCCACAACTCAATGAAATTCCAACTATTTTAACACGCTTTGGAGCAATACAATATGCTGTGTCAACCGACATTTACAAATCAGACTTCATGAAAAGGACCGCCACATGACAAGATGTTTTGGGTTTACAGATTACACAAATCCAGATGCTGGGATTTCTACCTATCGATTCAAAGTCGTATTATTTGAAGCAACTTGCTCATCATTCCTTCTCAACAAAACCTTGGAAACACATTTTAAAAGAAATCCATGTGAAACTCAAAGAGAATTGTTCCAAATTATTGTACAACGTTTTAAGGATGAAAATTCACTTTTGGAATTTTTCAAACCCTCTCGTGTTCTCCTAGCAGAGGCTGAATTCAATCTAAGAAGTTGAAATTCGAACAACATAAAATTATGCCACATAGCAGCTGAAGATGGGGTGCTTGACAGTGACAACATTAAAAAAATTCTAGGATTGAGATGGGATCCAAAAATAGACTGCATTTCCTTTCCAAGACTTGATATAGACATCAATAGAAAACTTGGAATAAAAAGAGAAGTTGTCAGCCAATCACCCAAGATTTTCGACCCACTAGAAATTTTGAGTCCTATTACCATTAGAGCCAAAACTACTGATGCAGGATATTTGGCAAGAAAATGTTGCCTGAGATGAAAAAACTTGCAAACAATTACCAGGAGAAACTGTGTGAACTTGCTAAGGAATTTGAATTGTCATCTACCACAAAAACCAAGGTTTCTATGTGTACACTCAGCCACAGAGTGTACAGCTCCTAATCTACATATATTCACAGATGCCAGTAAGAGAGCTTATGGGGCCTTTGCAGACCTTCTGACAAAAAATACATCACATTTAATAATGGCAAAAAACCGAGTCGCACCTATTAAACCTAAAACCTTACCTCTTCTAGAGTTAATGGAAGCAGTAACTGGAGGCAGATTAGCCAAGTACCTAAAAGGCATTTTGAACGTGAAATCAACAACCTTATGGTGTGACAGTCAAATTGTCCTTCATTGGCTTCAATCTAAGGAATCAATGAATCAATTCATCACCAATAGAAATGCAGTGATTAAAGAATCAACAAAACGACATACATCTAAAAACATTCCAACTATCTCCAATCCCGCAGATCTTCAAACAAGGGGAATTTCTTACAAACAATTTAAAGCTAACATTCTTTGGATGAATGGTCCTACATGATTAACAGAAACATCCAAATATCCTCAGTGGGAAATCTTAAGGACCTCTGCTTTGACAACATATACAGACAAAAAATATCCGGAGGTTGGGTCAAAGAACTTCATCATTCCTGGAGTCCGCAATATCATAAACATATCACGATTCAGCAGTCTACAAAAACTACTCAGAGTTTCGTGTTATGTTTTGTTCAACAAAGGCAACAAAGGACATTTCCAGAATACTTTTGTGGCCCGGAGGAAGATCATGATGAGGAAAAGAACAAAAACCAATGGGTGAAAACCTTTGTCTGAAAACAAAATCCTCTTGCTGATTTACATCAACGATGGAAATGGGAATATTTAACAAGTCTACGTGAATACCATCGTTGCCTCGAAAAACAAAACCTTAAAATTTGCAGACGCGGTCTAGATTTACGACATTTATCCAAGAGTAAACTGGAAGCTAGGAATAATGAAAAAACTTTTGGAAAGCAAGGATCACTATTCTCGTTCTGCCATATTAAAAACTAGCAATGGTCGTACTACCTCAGGACCTGTATCAAAATTATATTTTATTTATTATTGAACTGTAATTGAGAAATAATCTATAGCAAAATTAATTGTGTTTATACATGTTTATCTGTTCATTATCTTCAAATTTAAAACATCATGCCCTGCTGAGGATGTTATAAATACTATAACAATTAACTTAATTGTGTGACATGTAATGTGTTGTGTACATTCCTGGCTATGGCGTCTTAATCGTGATGACATCATAATAGTGATGACATCATTGTGTATTTTGTATTGTGTATTGTTACCATGTAAGTACTGATTCCGGACAGATGTGTTTACCTATCTCTCATTACACCTCCTTTGTAGTAAAACGGTCCTTGGTTAACATTTTTTAAAGATTGGTTGCCTATCGCCGACTATTGATAATATCATTTGGTTGTATTAAACTTTTCATATTTTCCGATTGTTCTAAAATTGGGTAAATTCTTTAAGCTTTTATAAGGATATTTCTGTTTCGTGGGTCACAACAAAGGCTATTTTTCCGTCATCGGTGGTGTCATCTACACCACGTTGATTTCTAAGGTTCTCTTTTGGAATTTTGGATGCCTTTTCTATACCAGCGTTGATTAAATCAATTGTATTGATTTGACAATTGTCGTCGTATATATATTTTAATCCCTCCAAACGTCTAGAACGCAGGGTTCTATCTGTAATAATTGTACAAATTCTTCGTGCTTAATTAAACCGATGACGGGAAAATAGCCTTTGTTGTGACCCATAACCCACAAAACAGAAATATCCTTATGGACACTAAAAGATTTTACCCAATTTTAGATTTTTTTTCCTGACGTGGCAGAGGCATACAGAATTAATTTTTGTCCTGTAGGGGGCTAGGTTCGAACTTCTTTAACGACCAAATTTTATTCAAATAACACACGACATTACCACGGTTTGAATGTACTACAACGGGGGGGGGGGGGGGATAAAAATGTACATTTTCAAAAGTAAAAGGTCATGTTTGGAAAAAAAGGCATGTCCTCCCCCTACTACGTGCCTTGTATACCTAAACGAGTTATGATCCATGATAGTTAATGTTCAATGATATTTAATGAATAATATCAATGAGTTTTTAATATGTTGAATAATTTCTACAAGGGTGTAACTATATATTCTGACGTAAACGTTTGTCATAAAATTTTATTATATAGCGCAGATCTATTGATTTTGTCAGACCTATTCGTTTTTTTATCACTGGCGGTAATAATCGGGATGATATTGATTTGTAACCAATATGCATTGGCGGATGACAATAGGGGGGGAATGGCGTTAAAACGGGATTTTATATCTCTATTCATTGTAAGAGCACAAGTTGACAAAATTAGACCTTTCTCTTGTGGTTCACAAGCTGGTCTCCAGGCATAAACTTCATTTAAGGTCAGACATCACGTTCCTCAAATATACATGTATATTTTTTATACCTTGGTATTTTATCAAAAATTATTCATCATCGTCATTCTCTTGTGATTTCTAAATTGTTTTAAATATGTTCAAAAAAAAGTACACCAAAAATTGTGACATTGGCAATTCAAAAGATTACTCATAAGAATTATATAAGAAATATCGCCCTCTGGTATCTTGCCTGAATGCCTAGTAAGGTACCTAAATTTTTGGTGAAGGAACTTATTTAGGAAGTTAAACTTCAATGACAAGTTCTTGTGAAAAATCACATATTTTCTAGGAATGTGTCGTCTGACGTTAAGGTACTATGCCAGCAGTTTACTTCGATACCTTTCTGTTAGTACGAGAATTGACGATGAAATAAAAATACAAAATTGTTTTGTTCCCTTTTAGGATGACCCTCTTCTGATAAAGGCCCTTTCATTTCAATGGATAGATTGAAAACGATTTGAACAATTTAAAGCTTTTATCCCACTATTGATAGATATATAAATTCATAGCTAATATATGCATGTGTCGAAGCGAATGTGCATGAATTGTTCTTTGAAAAAATAATTTTAAAAAAATGATATAGAATCGTGGTAGTACCTAAAAATATTTATCAATAAAAAGTAAATGATAATTATAGAAATATAATTTTGAAAAAGAAGTTTCCCTGCCTTTCGGTATCGTGACAAAAATCCTTTTGCATTTCTGGAGTTATAAAAATAACACATACAAAATTAAATGTAAATTATAAAACAAAAGATTAAGCATTGAAATCGTATTTATTTATTTCAAAGACAATCATTATTTCATGTTTCCATTTCATCCGACAACAAATGGAGACACAACATAATCAATACCTGCAAAATAAAAAAAAGTTTTCAACATCCACCATTCTTACACCATTCTTAGCGGAACTCTAAATGACAATTTACAATAAAATCTGGGAATTTTAAATACTAACCCCAACATGTTTTGTAAAGTAGAAGACAACAAAGGGCCTTAGTATTACATTGTAAGTCATAACTAAAAAAAACATATATTTAATTTTTTATGACACTGTACAAATGAAATGTTCCATGTGGTTTTTATTGTGCATTTGACACCCAAATGTCAGAACTTCTATGTAAAATATAGCTTTAATTAATTTTTTTTTCAAACTTTGTTAAGCTTAAGGTTGCTCGACACATAAATATTTTATCAAAAGAATCTATAAATTTAAGTGCTTCTTTTGAAATGCATGTATTATGATTTCACCATTGTAAGACACATAAGAAGATCTCTAAATGATTTTATTTGTATTTTTTTTTCAGAAATTAAAGTCAAAAAATGTTGTGGATATTTTTTTTGAGTTTTTAGGAAAAATGTAAATTATTTGAAAGAAATGAAAGCTTTTATTTGTGAATATATTTTTTAAATGTATGGATAAAATTATCAAATAAGTTGTCAATTACATAATTGAAATGTAAAACAATAATAATTAAAAACAAAATTGAAATGGAAGTGCAAAAATTTAATAAAAATATTTTTGTTTAGAATTTGAAACATGCTAATTGAAATTAAACTGATTCCTGTCAAAATATACACAAAATTACAAATATAAATAAATAAAAGCTCATTTGATGCAATTACCACCGAGATATCCATTTGCTTTAAACGTTTATAGTTATATGTTTCAAGCATATTAAAACCGAACAACCTTTTTTCTTGTTTAATTGTTCTGTATTAATTTTTCATTTCACATAATTCATGCATTAAGGGTCACTTAAATTTCGATGGATCAATTTGAAAACGGACAATATTTCTTAAGTTTCAAATTCATTTTTTTTAATATGTTAACTTTGTCTTGTATTTTTTCACATGTAAGTGATAAGTTCAGGAAGATTTTATCCAGAGATTTGAAGAAAAATATTAACAAGCTGGGTTCTTCAGTTTTAAATGTGTTTGTATGGCTAGGTTTGTAATTCATCTGTTGCTTTTTCGACAACTCGTTTTAAAAAAAAAGATACACTGATCCAAATGTATATTTTTGTAATATATCAGGCATAAAGTTGTAAATCGGTGAAATAATGAATTTGAGGAGTCAAAATTCTTCGACTTTTTTTAAACCTTTGAAACATTAAATATATTGTGGAAATTTAAAATGAATCTACAGTGTAATTCTTTATATTAATTTCTTTTGCTTTCACTTTAAAAAAAATCTGCTTTAAAACAACAAAAATGTGCATTCTTTAAAAATTCTCAAGAAAAACAGCACAACAAAATTTTATATTAATAAACTAATAATTATATGAATGCTATGAAGAGCCTAGACAGTGGATACCTTAGATGTAAGTTAATAATTTGATACCAACCTTCACATATTTTACAGAATTTCCGACAATTCTCTTCTCTGAATAGTCTGAAAAGACGATTGGTGCACAAATCGCTCTGATACTCGGCACAAGTTGGAAGTTTGTCTTTACATTCCACAGATTGTGTTGGAACTATTGGACAAAATGAGAAAAATAGTATAAACAAGAGTCATTTAGTATTTACAATGAAATGTTAATTTCTTTTTGTAGATTGTATATTAGGAATAAAGTGCATATGTACCTAGACAGTAACCGCAGTATAATGGACAGTTCTTTTTTGCCCATGGATAATACATCCCATCAATCTCACAGGTCATGTTGAAGTTGTACATACGACAATCAATAGTTGGATTATTTCTACAATCTGAATAAGATTAATTTGAGCATTATATATAGTTCTGAAAACATCTAGTTCCTTGATGTACACCAGTAAGCAAAGTTTATTTTCATCAACTTTAAGATAAATTTTGTTTCGTATTATTTTGTTACAGATTCTTATTTATAGACCTCATAATCTTAAGTTTGGAGAATGAAAGGCATATTTTCCTCCTCGCTTTTTGTTATATTTTGTTCAAAATGTACATAGTACATAAGAATAGTTTTGATAAATGAAAAATGAAATATACCTCCATATGGTGAAGGAGTTACTATTTCAGAAGTCCCAGCAGGTGATGCAGACGTTGATTCCGTAGAAGATACGCCAATGGTTCCGACAGAGACTGTCCCGGTGCTTAGAATCGTACTTGCAGGGGTTGAAGAACTAGTAGATGTTGCCGCTGTTGTATGATGAACTGGCGGTCCTAATTACATGAAGTGTTGAGAATATCTATATAAAATTTAGTTTACAGGAACATACCTATACTGCTGTGAGTAGGATAAATAGCCATGGGGAGGGTAGGTGGGAGTTATTTGTGGCCCTGAAAACCCTTACAGAACACCAAATATGATAAATCAAATAACTTACCTCAATTTGCTGTATAAGTGCTTATTTTTGTAATGGAATTTGGAAGCTTGAACTGGAATTTAGAAGCTTGAACATCCCAAACCACAGACAAAATATTGCAAATGCAGACTCTGCACGTACATACAGGTATACCAAAACCAATACTTCTCTATCTTATTGTTACAATTAGTTCCTTCCAAGAAATTCAGTCAAACACTCTGTACATAATCTCCCCTTCTTCTCTCACAGAAAGTTCTTGAAAAATAAAACGTACTATGAAATTTAAATTTTATTGCAGTGTCCACGTTATGTCACAGTGTTTCCTGAATTAAAATTACTAAAGAAACAAATTCCAAAAGAACAATAAATAGGTGATGAAAGAAAGCAAGCAGATGAAGCATAATTACACAGATATAAAAAAGCGTATGTTCGTGAATTGTTAAATTCACGAACATAATTCATAAGTGTTAGATAAGAAGATAACAAACAGTATTCGATCTCGAAAGTCCAATTGAACGATACAAATTTGGAGCAGAGCAAATACGAACCTCAAAATTTAGAGGTGGGATCAGGTGCCATGGAGGAATGAGCATCCTCTGCCGACCGGTCACACCCTCCCTGTGCTCCTTATCATGATCGGAAAAATCCGTAGACAGCTCAGTGTATAAATAATGGCCTAACAATTAGCATGAAAAACGTCAGTCAGCATTTGACTCAATGATAGGTTGTGTGTGCTGACAATGTCATTGTATCGACCATAAAACTTGCAAAATGATGACTTCAAACGACATTGTTGATATCCTTGTTTCATTAACTTGTTTGTCAATAGCTTGCCTCGTTTTAGAAATTGTTCATACGTAGAGCATGCTCTTGCGTATCGAATCAATTGAGAGACATAAACCCTGTATGCAGGTGATAAGGGTATATTGCTACAAAAGTAAGGGAAGCTGACGATTGAAAAGATGAAGTCATCACGTTTATCATAAAGTTTTGTTGTCAGGTTACCATTTACTCTTTATCTAGTGAAATATCTAGATATAAAACAGATGTGTCAGACTCTGTGGTATCTTTTACTTCAAGCTTACTGGGATATATCGAGTCAACATATGAATGGAAGTAACTATTGTTAATTGATAATACGTCGTCGTTATATTGAAGTGTCGAGTTGAAGACCACAGCAATTGTTTTCTTTTTCTCATGTAGAAGTTTTTGAATAAATTCTGCTTTATATGAATACAAAATAGGTCTGCTAACAACGGGGCGCAATTGGTACCCATGGGAATTCCAACAGATTGTTGGAAGACCTGATCTCCAAACACTACATTGATATTGTCAATCAGAAACTCAAGCATCTTTTTAATATCAACTTCAGAGTACTTGTGTTACAATCAGAATGCTTTTTAACAAAATAATCTGGCAAGTTACCAGTGACAAGGTAAGTATATTTACGAGTTCAACTTTTATTGAAAAAGCAGCTGTCTATGATATCGAAAAGCCTGGACTTCAATTTATCATGGGGAATGGCTGTATAAAGAGTTGAAAAGTAGTCCGTCTTGATGTTATTGATTTGAGTAAAATTTTGTGATTTCAAATTTTCCAAAAGTTCCTTGGAGTTTTTCCTTTTATAATGCCGCCCAAGCGATTCGGATTGAAATTTTCAGTACATTTTCTGAAAGTCAATTTACTATTTGTCAACTTGTGCAGCTTTTGAGTATCTTTTGGGGGTACATTTAACAATAAAATGATTTCCTTATTTGCTAGTATTGGTATCAATGCTGCAGTTGTTGCAGAAAAAATACAAAAACCACTTAATATAAGCAATAAGAAGCAAAATATATTCAAATAATTACAAAGAAAGACATTTTATTGTTTAGATATGTTTGTATAAAAATCATATAAAGTAGAATTAAGTAAGTTAAATATATAATAACGATATTCACGTCATTGCACGTTTCATTGATGGAATAGCCACTGCCTTAGAAATTTATGTGGCTTGATTTGCGGCGTTAAACAACATGAGAAACTAGTTATAATTGTAACGGGGACCGTTACAGATGTTCCCCAAACGCTCCCCAACTCCCTTTTGGTGACTTTTTTCCTCTAAGCTTCATTAAATAAGGCAATGAAGTATATTGGTCATTTTTTGCATTTCACGCGCGCGCACGTGCATGCATGTGCAGAATGACCAAGTCATCCCGTCTATACTATATATGCATCTTTATATTCTCAGTATCAAAACATTTCATCAAAAAATATATAAGTTCCGGCTAAATCAAGCATATTGGTCATCTTAGCATTGCGCGCACGCGCACATGCATGCATGTTCATAATGACCATGCCATTTTGTGTACACTTATAATATGTCTGTTAATTCATAGTATCAAAGCTTTTCATCAAAAAATATAAAAGTTTACGGCTATATTAAGTATATTGGTCATTTAACACATTGCACGCGCGCGCATGTGCATGCATGTGCATCATGGCCAAATCATCTTGTTTACACTTTTAATATATATATATTTTCTTAATATCAAAGCTTTTCATCAAAAAATATAAAAATCACGGCTATATTAATTATATTAGTCATTTAACACATTGCACGCGCGCGCACGTGCATGCATATGCATGCATGTGCATGATGACCATGTCATCTTGTCTACTCTTTCTATATATATAAATATTTTGAGTATCAAAGCATTTCATCAAAAAGTATAAAAGTTACGATATTATCAAGTAAATTGGTCTTTTTACGCTTTGCGCGTGCGCGCACGCGCATGCATGTGCATGTTGACCATGTCATCTTGTTCACACTTTTAATATATCCTTATATTCTGAGTATCAAAGCATTTCACCAAAAAATATAAAAATTACAGCTATATCAAGTATATTGGTCATTTTACCCATTGCACGCGCACGCACGTGCATGCACGTGCGCGCAAAATGACCTTTGTTCCGCAAATCTACATAAAATGCCTATTAACCCTAAAAAGGTTTTAACTCAATTGGTTGAGCAGTTTCCGAGAACACTCGCGGACAAAAAAGTACCGGAGAAGAAATAAGAAGAAAAAAGAATAATAATAATAATAATAATAATAATAAGAAACAGAGTAAAAACAATATGTTCCCAAACTCCGTTTGGGGAACATAATAATAACTAGAAACTCATTGCGAGCAATGAGAGGTCTTCCGTCCGATTCTGAAAAAAAGAAAACTCAAACCGAAAAAGTGATAAAAGACATTCAGACACTCTGGAGATTTAACCCTGGTCGTCAGCCTGAAAATCCAACGTGCTAACCATTAACCATTCCCTTATTTGCATTACTTTCTGTCACGACCGGAAGTAACGGCGATACAAGATTTTGTCACGATTCAAATAAACTGATCACTGACTATCAGTCCTGAAAGTTTCAGACTTCAATCGTTTACTGTTGCCGAGCAATAGACCGGAAGTTGACGTTTTATTTCCGGTGGAATCTAACATATTTCAAAACAGCGAAAGAGATGCAATCAAGTGATGCAAGTTTTAGCTTAAAAAAGAAAGAAGAGAAATAATATGATTGCATCCTCTGATCTAAATAATAAAACAGGTTTTGTAATCCTCAGAAAAAGTTCTATCATTTTATAGTTGCATATTTAAGATCAGAGGTTACGCTCTATATTAAATATCGGAAAATTAGCTTTAAAAATTGGTTTGTTTTGTAGAATTTTTCACGATATGAGGAAAATGTCGCATTTCATGACGTCATAATGCATTGGCTAGCCAGAAAATTACGTCATTTTTGATAGATACGCAGTCATCAAAGGTCTAAATGATATTTAATGCATTGTCAAAGAAGTTTCAGTTTTTCTGAAATTCACAGGGCCAAAAAAGGCCCTTAAAGTGGACCTTGTTCTTTAATATTGATACCACTACACTAGCGCAATGTACCAGCCATCATCGATGTTTACCTTGCACTCATTCCCTGAAGTAACGAGTGTCAGGCAGGTTAATCTTTATTTCTTATAGTGTGGAATTATAGGATGAAAACTTGCCAGCTAAATTTTGTGCAAGTACTAGTAGATTTACATCGGATTTGTTACTTGAGTTTTAACAATAACTGATAGCAGAGAAAATAATCTGTTACTGATAAAAACTAAAAAAAAAAAAAAAAAAACTATTGTGTTTACTTCCTTTATTCTTTATGCATTCAACTTTCTATTCTATGCAATTCCAAATTCAGACATGTCCGTGTAATCTTTTTCTGTACTTCTACACTACTGCATCAGACCATTTGTGAAAGGCGGGTCAAGATACATTATTTCGCGCCAAACGTCACGAGTAAATCATCGCGCCTTTTCTTTGGAATGTGTCTTCAATTGAATAAGAGTACGTGATAGCTTCAATGAAATTTTTAAAAATATGTTGCTGTAGCCTGATTTTCGAGTCTAAGAATGTATATTTATCACACTGTACATATTACATATCGTATACGGGCAAGTAACATAAAGGCAGCACTAAGTTTTCTTACACATTTTATATTCCTCTTTACCCCCAAAGTGGATTATTCCAATTAGTAACACATTAATGAAAAGACTGGAATGTTTCGCAACAAAACACGTCTCGCCATATGACGCTCAAGGAATCTGATACCTATTATGTTCTGTAACTTGCATCTATAAAGGAATATTGCCCTACTAAAATCAAAGAAAAATATCATTGAAGTTTATTTTTCTCTCATTTGAAATTGCTATATATGTTATTCAATCAACATGAGAAAGTAACAAATTCTACTTTCAAAATACAATTCCGCAACTCTCCAATTTATGATACAATTGCATAGGTATCTAGCTACATATACATTTGCACCAACATGTTTTCCTCATTTTGTCATATCACAATTGCATCTATGCACAATAATTAGTGCAAAATTAAACTGCAAACTCTTTATGAGGGAGTAAAAAGACACGCTGATATTGTGCCGTCAAACACCGCTGCTCTGACGTCTAAAGACATAGTCCCCCCCCCCCTTAAGATAAAATCTTATATTTGAGCCCCAAAAAGTGAGAAAAAATTTGGAAATTCTTTGGATTGAATCCAGATCGCCCACTAGAAAATTCAACATGCTAACCATTACACTATCAAACACCGTCTCTTAAAATTGAAAAATGATAAATATTCAGAGTATGGGTTAATCAATTTTTAAACAAACTACATATTTAGCATTCTTGTAAGACTCTTTATTAAGCCTATCAACATCATAAAAAAATATTGAAAAACAAAAAAGTTCAAAAAATTACCCTTTTTAAATCACTTCCTGTGACGACCGGAAGTTACGACGACACACGAAATGTTTCCATCACACATCTACAAACCAAATTCTATCATACCTGAAAGTTTCAGACTCCTACCTTTAACAGTTTCTGAGAACATTCATGGACTAGATTTTTAGTGTAAAAAGTGAAAAATCGTAATAATTCCCGACCGGAAGTAAATTTTTCCAAACTTTTTCAATATTTCAAAATGGCATGAGATAACAAATCATTCCTGAAAATTTGGCTGAAAATGAATGAGTAGTTTTTGAGATATCGCGATTTGAAAAGGTCAGAAAAATAAAAATGAAAAATAATAATAATAATAACTAGAAACTCATTACTAGTAATGAGAAGG